TTTTGACTGATGGTACAGTTACTTTATGTATCCTTCCATCTTCTTATGTATTCTATCAGTTTTGACAGATGATATTAAGTTTCTCCATCATCTCTCTCCACAGATGTAATTGATCTGATATCTGTGTATTCCATCTGGTGAGGGAGTGTATAGTCACCATTTATGTTGTTGAAAAAAGGTATTTGCAATAAGTTGTTGGTCTTGCAAAATTCTATCATGGGATCTCTGGCGCCATTTCTATCACTGAGACCATATTTTCCAACTCCCAACGAATCTTCTTTGCTCTGACTTTCACATTCCGATCACCAGTAATAATCAATACATTGTAATTTCATGTTTGGTCAATTTCAGACTGTGAAAGTTGGTGAAAATCTTTAGTTTCTTCATATTTGGCATTAGTGGCTGGTGCGTAAATTTGAATAATAGTAGTAGTAAATGGTCTTGTTTGTAGGCGTATGGATATTATCCTATTACTTCATTGTACTTCAGGATAGATCTTGAAATACTCTTTTTGATGATGACGGCAATGCCATTCCGCTTCTATTTTTCAATCCTAGAACAGTAGACCATATGAATGTCTGATTCAAAATGGCCAGTACCAGTCCATTTCAGCTCACTAATGCCTAGTGTATTGCTCTTAATGCATTTCATTTCATTTTTGATAACTTTCAATTTTCCTGGATTCATACTTCGTACATTCCACTTCTTAATAAATGTTTGCAGCTGTTTCTTCCTATTTTGAGTCATGCTCCATCAGCAAATGACGATCTCAAGTAGTGGAAGGTTTATGTAGGTAGCTTCAGTTGCCTAGAAAGTTAATCTGCATTCTTCAGTGAATATGGATAAATCAAACTATATTATAGTTTGATTTTTTTTCTCTCCATGAAAACAAATGAGACTGATAATAAGCCTAGGGCAGAGACAATGAAAAATTAACTAAAATAGTAATGTAAGAAAACCTAATGAATCAAAGTATGATGCTAAATTAGTGAGAACCTAAACTCACTGCCATGGAGTAGATTCCAACATATAGTGACCCTATAGACAGAACAGAAGTACCCCTACAGGATTTCCAAAGCTATAATTATTATGGAAGCAGAGTGTACATCTTTCTCCCATGGAGTGGCTGATAGGTTTGAACCACTGATCTTTTCATTAGTAGCTGAATGTTTTAACCACCTCAGTATCCTAGTCATCAATAATTACAGTCTTAATTTTTAAAAAGATTGTGATTACACCTTTATATTTCAATGCCAAAAGAGTCCCTGGGTGGCACAAATGATTAAGCACTTAACTACTTGCCAAAAGGTTGGTGGTTCCAACCCACCAGACATGCCTCAGAAGAAAGGCCTGATGATTTACTTCCAAAAGGTCACAGCCATTAAAACCCTACAAAGAATAGTTCTACTCTGATGCACAGGGATTTGCCATGAGTCAGAATCAATGCAATGGCAACTAGTAAATGGCAGAAGAATCAGAAAAGGAAACTTAATGCCTCTCTAACATCCACTGCTAGAACTCAACTGTAAGAAGGAGTTCACTATATTATGAACAGTATAATTCTGTATTTCTAGACTAGCAAGTTAACTATGTGAAATATTGGTATTACATGTAATTCCCCCAGTAAGAAGCCAAATATTATAAATTGTCACAGGAATAAGAAGCCCATGAATTTAATTTACTAACAGGAATATTTTTTACCATTAAATCTATCATTATGAAGTTGCACAATTAGTTATGAAACTTTTCACCTATCCACTGCACAACTGGGGAAAAAAAAAAACCAATAATCTCTTGACAACTTCTCACTGTATAGCTAAAAATCTTCAAAATGGTTACGCACAGACTTTTTGTCCATATTTTTCTTCTCTGCACATAACAACAACAACACTGGAGTTGCGCTTTTAAATGAATATGGATGAAATACATATTTTAAATTGTTCAATGAATTATTTCAAATTAAAATACTATTTGGGACTAGAGAAAAGGATAGTTACATATCAGACCTAAAATGGTATGGGTGGCATTCATTCATTCATTCATTTAATATTTAGCCAGTGTTATGTATCTCATAAAGTAAAATATGTATTTTCATCTTCTCTCATCACCAAATTATATAAAATGCCATCTTTCTATGTTTTAGTTTCTCAGACCACAGATGGAGTTAAAATATGAATAATTCTCACCAACCAAATGAAATTAGTTAATTCCATTTAAACGTTCTGAGCCTACTCATGGGCTAAAACCCTTATTCTCCATAATGCTGAAAAGTCAAAAATTCCATGAAAGGGTCATTTCTGATCAATCACAAAATAGAACCTATTTTAGAACGATGTAGGGACTTATTTTCTCTCATTACGAAAGAGGAAACTGAGACTGAAAGACATTATGTGGTTAATAAACACTTTTTCTGAAATCACATAGCTGTTAATGAGCATGACGACCAGTGTCCAAGTTTCCTGTGACCTAAAATAGTCCAGAGGAAACTTAGAGTTTGTCCTTTATATCTGATGACAATACCTACTAGTAAAGTAAAAGAACTTAAAATGAATATTTGCTGTGGACTGTAAAGATGGAAGGTACATGTTTTCTTCACTACTTGGATTTTTGTCTCTTTCTCTCATTTTTTCTACTTATTTCCAATTTCTGACAATATATCTTGAACTGTGTCTTCTCTACATCTCCCCTTTTCCCCAAGCAAGGCTAATAAATAAGCCAACCTAATTTAAAAGTAGAGAAAAGGAAGGCACAACATAACAAACAGTTTGACAAGTCACTCAACAAGGAAGTGGCTAACTAGAAATAGAAAGCAGCCAGGCATCTATTAGATTAAAGTAGATTAAAGAGGTTTATTTCAGCTTCAGCAAATGCATCAGATGAAATCATTCATGGAGTTGGATATTAAAGGAAAATCAGAAAATTCTTTTTGCAAAAGTGAAAGTATAAATGGCTGCCTTACCAAAAGTTACAGGATACTCTTAATTCCATTCATTTGCTCCCCTCTAGTTATCTCATTTATTTTCTACAGGATCTAATGAAGAAAGGAGGGACGTGTGAGGGAATGAGTGTGAAGTGACTCTTTATCTTCTCCTCAAAATGGAGGACTTGTCGGATTGAGGGGCCAACAAAGATAGTTTTCTGTTCTGCAACAAGCTGGGGTGAAGAGAAACGAGGGTCATAAGCCAAATAATATAACAAAAAAGGAAGTCTGAAACTAAGAGAAAAAAGAGGATGACATGAAAGAGCCAAACAAAACATACCTGTTCGGTAATAGAAAGGGAAAAATATTAATCTCTCCTCCTTGCCTACGTGCCAGATGCTATTCAGCTCCTGAAACCATTCAGCTCTGCCATGACTCACTTAAACTAAACCCAGACCTACCTTGTTAAAGTGCTGGCCCAAAATCGTAAGAACTCCATCAGTAGTTTAAAGTAAAGGGAGTTCCAGCTCCCACTACTACTCAGGTGGGTACTAGGAGTTTAGGAAGCCTGAATCATGTTGACAAGATAGGCTAAGAGATGTGCTTTCCCTGGAATATTGAAGTAAAAATGTACATCCAATCTCCCATAAAACCATCAAATGATGATTAGGCATCACAGCATTAATTATCACAATACTATACTTCAAATATAAACAACAACAACAACAAAAAACTGTCACCGTGTCAATTCCGACTCATAGCGACCCCCATCAGGTTTCTGAGGCAGTAAATCTTTACAGAAATGGATTGCCCAGTCTTCCTTCCATGGAGTGGCTGGTAGGATTGAACTACCAACCTTCTGGTTAGCAGTCAAATGCCTTAGGCACCCCGCCACCAGAGCTCCTAACTTCAAATATATTATAAAACAAATTGGCTTTTGTGGATGGAAAACACACTTAATTCATATTTGTTCTATGGGAAAACATTTCAGGAGCCGATTAGGTGTAGGTCTTTCTTCCTTACCAATCAATACAAGACTGCCACCTCGTGGCCAAAAAGAAGGACTGCACTAAAAATGGTTATACAGGCAGTCTCTGGATTACAGACTTCTGTTCCTAAATCCATCTTTAAATTGACTCTGTACATAAATTGAAAGTTAGGCATGGTTCATATGTCAAATGTTTGTCTTACTATATAGTATATAATGTACCTTTCTATGCATAAAAAACATTAAAGAAACACTTCTGGTTACACTAAAACATCTTTAACATAATAATACAGTAGTGTTTTGATGCATGTTGCAAAGTAGAATCTGTTTGGTATTACAAACTATTGTATGTACCTCAAAATTTTATTATAACAGGCTTTAAGGGGGTTGGCTTGTAATTACAGGTTGTACATAACCCAGGGACTGCTTATATATTGGGAAGCAGCAGGGAAAGTTAGTGAAAAGGATTGAATTTATCAGTCAGATCTCAGGTATGTTTCCTAATACTATCTTTCAGAAGGAAGGTTGGGCAATCTACTTCTGTAGTAATACTTGACAATAACTATTGAACACCTAAATTAATACTCCATGAAATGGTGAAACTGTGTGGGATATTATAAAGGTCAACCTAGTAGTAATAATTATTATAGTAGAGACCTTAATGTAGAGTATAATTCTCTAAATTGATAGATGAAGAGCCATTGAACATCAATATTAAGCTATGAATAACAGAGGAATGTAAATAAAAATGTTGAACTATTTTTACTCTGAAATTATTTTCTTACCTAGTTACATAAACTCCCTATCCTCCTCAAAGTAGCCAGTTGACTTCCATTTTCAGCTTTGCTATAGAACTTGTAGGTAATTTAAAACCTATTCATGGGCCCTACCTTAGCTCTACTGAATCTAAATCTGCATTTTCACAAGATTCCACAGGTGATTCACAATCAATTTTTAGGTCAATCCAGTCAGGACATGCATACTTCCCCTACTTTGTGTATAAAATGAGAAGTCATTGCTGATGAGCAGCTAAAAATGCTTTCAGGGACTCAGTATGAACATACATACAAGTAAAGAAACGCTAAATCTTACCTTTTGTGAATTTCATATAATGAACACGGTTTTTTGAAATTTTAGACTTTTCTTCAAGGCTAAAAGATTTCTTCTCTTTGTTGTCTGAGGAGTCTAAAAAAAAAGATGAAAAGTATTATATTAAACTATATGTAAATGTAACCTATTCTCAATTACTCTCTTATGGTGACATAACTCATCTTTCACCACTCATTCATCAGTTTGTTGGATTGTGGTGGCTTCTGTGTTGCTGTGATGCTGGAAGCTATGCCACCAGTATTTCAAATACCAGCAGGGTCACATGGTGGACAGGTTTCAGTGGAGCTTCCAGACTGGGAAAAACAGGGCCATCTACTTCTATATAAATATGATTATATCATCTGCAAATAGAGATAGTTTTATGTCTTCTTTGACAATCTGGATAACTTTCATTTCCCTTCCTTGCTTATTGCTCTGGCTAGGATTTCCAATACAATGTTGAATGGGAATGGTGATAAAGGGTATTCTTGTTTATAAGGAAAATGCTTTCCGTCTCGCCCTATTGAGAATAATGTTGGTTGTTGGTTTTGCATATATGTGCTTAGTTATAGTGAGGAATTTCTCTTCTATTCCTATTTTATTCAGCATTTTTGTCATGAACGGGTGTTGGATTTTGTCAAATGTCTTTTCTGTATTGATTGATATGATCATGTGGTTCATTTCTTTTTATTTATGTGATGAATTATATAGATTGTTTTCCTAATGTTGAACCATCCTTCCATACCTGGTATGAATCTCACTTGGTCATTATTACTTTTTTGATGTGTGGTTGGAGTCTGTTGGCTAGGATTTTGTTAAGAATTTTTACATCTATGTTCTTGAGGGACACTAGTCTATAATTTTCTTTTTTAGTGATGTCTTTCCATGGCTTTGGTATCAGGATTATGCTCACTTCATAAAATGAATTTGAGAGTATTCCCACCTTTTCTATATTCAGCAATATTTTGAATAGAACCGGTTTATCAGCTCTTCTCTGAATGTTTTGTAGAATTCACTACCGAATCCATCTGGGTCAGGACTTTTTTGTTGTGGTTGAGAGGTTATTTTAACGATCTGTTCAATATCTTCTTTTGTTATGAGTCTACCCAAATTTTCTACCTCAGTCTATGTTAGTTTAAGTAGGTCGTGTATTTCTAGAAATCTCCCCATTTCTCAGAGACTTTCAAATTTTTTGGAGTACAGGTCTTCATAATATCCTAATATTATCCTTTTTATTTCAGTTGGTTCTACCATGATACTGCCCATTTCATCTCTTATTCGTGACATCTGCATCTTCAACTTATTTTCCTGTTAAATTTCCCAGCGGTTTGTCAATTTTAGTAATCTTTCTAAGAACCAACTTCTAGTCTTTGATTCTTTCTATTGTTTTTCTGCTTCATTTATTTCTACTCAAATCTTTATTATTTCTTTTCTTCTGGTGACTGTAGGCTTTTTTTGCTGTTCTTTATTCTAATTGTTGGATTAAGGGGTTGATTTTTGCTTTCTTCTTATTGAATAATTGCTATAAATTGTTCTCTGAGTACTGCTTAACACAAGGATTGTTTTAAAAGTAAATAAAGGTTAGATATGTTCAATGATAATCAAAAAAGATTTGAGACTTCCAGTAAAATAGAGGAATAGGCAGACAAGCTACACAGATCTTCTCCAACAAAGAAAAGAGAATCCAACTAACAGATACAGAAGATAATCCTGGAGCCCTGAGCTTTGAAAGGAAGGATACAGAAGTGGATTAGGCACCAACTAGTGGAAAAACCTGAAGGAAAACAGTGAGTATGGAGATGGCCGAAGCAGTGGACTGTCAGCTACTCTATGGGAACAAAAGCATGAATATTTCCAAGTGGTGTTGGGATCTGAGAATTTACCTAAAGATCAGTCCTGGTTGCCAAGGGCTGCAGGGATGACTGCACTGGTGGCCTTTGACTAAGAAGGGAAACAGCAAAGAGGGAGATAACCTGAGTGGGGGACTTTCTGCTGTCCAGAGGGAGCAGCCATTTTGATTATTTACATGTGATGGCCATTTTGGATATTTAAAGTGACTGAGGGCACAGCCATTTTGAATGTTTACAAGCAGCAGTAGCCATTTTGGATATTTAAAGTGACCGAGGGTGAAGCCATTTTGAATGTTTACAAGTGGTGGTTATTTTGGATATTTAAAGTGACCAAGCGTACAGCCATTTTGAATATTTACAAGCGGTGGCCATTTTGGATTTTAAAGTGACAGCATTCTCATTCGAATTCCAGGGACTTAAGAATAAGCTCCGTTTGCCAAGGACAGGTGGACAATGGGAAAGAAGACAGTGTATAAGTGTATAAGCTCTGCCAACTACTGAATAGAGGAGCACAGTACCCTGCTTACTTTGATAAAATCCAAAGAAAACAAAAACAGTGGGCAAGTCACTTCAACATACAATCACCAATTAAATATAAACACAAAAATGTAATAATGCCTCAGAGACAACAGAACATCACAGTCCACACAAAGAAGCAAGATAAAGCAGGAGAAACAAGGGATCAGGATACAGACCCAAAACACATCACTGAGGAAGACGTAGCACTGGAACTCCCTGATAAGGAATTCAAAAGAATTATATGTAGGTATCTTCAACAAATTGAGAGACAGATCAAGGGAAAACCCTAGAACAATTTCAAAAGACAATACAAGAACAAAATGACAAAATAAATGAAAAATTACAAATGATACAAAATTTACACTTAGAAATCCAGAAGATTAATACTAAATTTTCAGAAATGGATAACACACTGAATGGGCAAAGGAGCAGAATTCAATCAATGGAAGACAGAATTAGTGACATTGAAGGTAAATATCTCAACACTTTTTGAAAAGGGAACAATCAGAAAAAAAATCAAAACAAAATGAAGAAAACCTAAGGTTCATGTGGGATACCATCAAAAGGAATAACCCACATGTCACTCGAATTCCAGAACAGGAAGAAAAAAATAAAACCATAGAAAAACTTGTCAAAGATTGGTTGGAAGAGAATTTTCCTGGTATGATGAAAAATGAGAATATATCCACTCAAGAAGTCCAATGAACACCAAACAGGGCAGACCCCCAAAAGAAAATCACCAAGACATATCATCATCAAACTCATCAAAACCAAAGACAAAGAAAGAATTCTGAAAGCAGCACAGGAAAAACGAAGAGTTACCTACAAGGGGCAACCAATTAAGAATAAGCTCAGATTTCTCGGCAGAAACCACGCAGGTGAGAAGACAGTGGGATGGTATATATAAAACCCTGAAAGAGAAAAACTTCCAACTAAGAATTATGTACTCAGCAAAACTGTCCCTCAAATATGATGGTGAAATTAGGACATTTCTAAATAGACAGAAATTAAGAGAATTTGTTAAAACCAGACCAACCTTACAAGAGATGCTAAAGGGAGTCTTCTAGACAGAGAACCAACAACAGCAAACAACAACTGACCATTAACACACATAATGACAAAACCTAGAAACCAACCCAGCTATGGAAGTATCCAAGGTAAATAAGCCTAAAAGATTGTAAACAGGGAACCAGAGACATCAATTGACAAATGAGGTCAACTACAAACCAAAAAGAGGGAAAAAATTGTGTAGTTACAGAACTTCTAAATGGGAGGGAAGTCAGGACAACTACAAGATAGAATGGACTGTTCTAAACTTGGGAAGAAAACTTAAATAAATCACAGGGTAACCTCAAAGAGAAATGATAAACCTTCACATCAAAATAAAAATGAGAACCAGCACAAATATTTACCAAATACTAAACCAATAGCAACAAAGAAAGTGATAACATGATTCATAAACAAAAAGAGGTCAGCACAGAAAATTATGTGGAACAAAGAAATCAACATCACAAAAAAGCACATCACAAAAATGACAGCAAAAAATTCATACTTGTCAATAATTATATAGCTGGCAAGGGACTTATCTCTAAAATTAGAAAACTCCAATGCCTCAACAGCAAAAGAATTAACAATCCAATTGAAAAATGGGCAGAAAACACCAAGGAGGATATTCAGATGGCCAGCTAATACATGAAGAGATGCTCACAATCAGTGGCCATCAGAGAGATGCAAATCAAAATAACAAGATACCATCTCACCCTAGCACTCATAGCAAGGTTCGATGAGACAGAAAATAACAAATGCCGGTGGGGATGTGGAGAGATTGGGACTCTCATACACTGCTGGTGGGACTGTGAAGTAATAGAACCACTGTGGAAAGCAATATGGCGATTCCTTAGAAAGCTGGAATTGGAGACACCATTTGACCCACAATCTCATTACTAGGTATATATCCTAGAGAGGTGAGAGCCAGGACAGGAACAGATATATGCACACCCATGTTCATCACAGTACTATTTACAATAGCAAAAGATGGAAACAACCTATGTGCCCATCAATGGAAGAGTGGATGATCACACTATGGTACATACACACAGTGGAATCTATGCAGCACTAAAAAATAATGTAGAGTCTGCAAAACACCACGTAACATGGATAAACTTGGAGGACATTACGATGAGTGAAATAAGCCAATCACAGAAGGACAAATATAGTAGTAGTTCATTGTTGTGGAGGGTCAAGGAAAAGTTTATATACGGAGGGAAACTTTCTTTGTTGGTTGCTAGGGGTGGGAGGGGTAGGGAGGGGTAGGGAGGGAACACTGCAAAAAAAAAAAAAAAGTACACTGACCTATGTCACTTTAGTTTTGTGCATTTCACTGTACATAAATTGTATTTCAATAAAACACATTTTTAAAAGAAAAAAAAAAAAGATTTGAAATTATCATCAGGTAGAATGTACAGAAGCAAAACTGGCACCGAACAATTGCTGCAAACACCAGCTTTCATGGGAGGCTTACCTATAAGGGTCAACAAAAACAACAGCAAAATGAAATCATTATGGAATAAATTTATGTGGTTATTCCTTTCACAAAAGAGGAAAATGAACCCAGAAAGTATTTACTTGCCTGAAATATGACAGCAAGTAGGTCTGGGATTAGAAGTAGTTACAAGATATTAATTAACTGCTTGTATTCTATTCTCTCATGTTTATCTATTTTTCAAG